TGGCATACCATCCACCTGCAACTTCGACCTTTAAGAAACTTGCGCTGTGCAGCAGCTTACCGCTCCGCTTGACAACAATGGCAGCAGTTGCCTAGTAGATGCTGGCGCATTCCCTACCCAAACTCCCAAGGCTGTCACTGTCACCGTGTGATGTGATTTTGTTTTGTCTGACACTGAACTGCCAGCAAGACACTCACAAACAGCCAGTCATCTGCTGCCGTATACCAGGCTACACCGTATATCGGGCTATAAACACATCACATGATGATACATAATGTTATGCTGCAAACCTACACTTCGACTTTTAATAGCTACATAACTCAGACCTCGTCAGGACAAGGCAAGCAGATAACGGTAACGGATTTAAAATGTGCCGAGACGAGAAGGAAAATGTAAAGAGTCCCGGGCAGCATGAGAAAGACTCTGCGTCGTGTCCGTCCAAGCAACACCGGGTGGCTACTGTTTGGGCCCATCCTAAGAACCGAAACCTTTAACTTTCAAGCCTAAGCGCCTAGTAGGGTTCGGACAACGCTGAGACTTTGCAAAGTCGTGCGTCAGCGATGCAATCGCCAACCCAATGCCAATCTGAGAATTGAATCTGTCCAGCATGATCTTAGTGCAACCAACGCTGGCATGCCGACAAAAGACCTCGACCTAAGAACTGCAGAATGAATATTCATCAGACATGTCAATGTTTGGACAAGTCGCCACGGGGCCTTCTGCACGAGAACCCAGGATTTCTTTGGAATCATGAAGTTACACAGCGTGTACACTTTGGGCTTGCACACTTGGATCTTTGGGGGCTCCTCCGTAAACTCGACCTGATAGCTGGCAGCCCGCATGCTGGATGTAAAAGCACTTCCGATGCACAAACAACAAAGCCAAGTCAAGCAAAACTTGAAACGAGTCACCTCCCACACCAGGGCAGCATTCTTCCCGCGCCAAACCTTGTGGCAGTTGCCCACAAGCAGGGCCCCCAACGTCTGGGACCTGAGAACGGTTTTAAGGGTTGCGGGTTCAAGGTTTGGGCCTTAGGGCCTTACGATGAATTACAGAATTATCTGCAGCGGTGGGGCCTCATTGTCATGGCATCAACAGTGCTGGCGATCGCATTCGGTACGAAAACAGTGGTCTTGCCCGTCTCCAAGGCCGCAACTTCATACCGGAATGGTACGGGTACAGGGTCGGCTCCATCTGCCTTGGATGTCTGGCTTTTAGGGTTTAAGGTGAGTTTGGGCTTAGGGTTTAGGGGGTTAGTGGAATTAAGAATCTGAGCTTAGGGTTTTTGGTTACGGGTTTCTTATGCAACCGCATGGATTTGCCCTGTTGTTCGTAGGTGCTCTACACCTGATCTGACTTTATACTTTTTATAATGGGGTTTAGGGTATTGGGGTTCAGGGTTTAAGGGTTTAGGGCTCTGGCTTTGGGGTACGAAGCAGGCACTGCGACACTGACTCGTGCATTTTCAACTTCAACCGCTCACATCTCTGGCCATTGCACCACAGTGCCTTCGCCGCCCTTTAGGGCGGCGAAGTACACTCGGCCAGCTGCTATCGAACTTACGCCGCGCAGCTGATCACGCACGGCTCTGCTGTCACCACCGACACTTTCTTCGCCCCATGTGACGACTGAGCCATCCTCCTTGATGGCTGCAAAAGCTGCACAATTGCCCTGCACAGCAATCACACTCGTGAGCTGGTCTTGCACTGCACTGCTGTCGCCACCCTCCATGGGATCACCCCAAGTGACAACCGTTCCGTTCTCCAAGATGGCCGCGAAAGCATCGCCGGCAGCACAGATCTCCTTCACGTTCCGCAACTGCTCTTCAACTGCGCTGCTGTCGCCACCCAAATAAGCGTCACCCCAGGTGACTACGGAGCCGTCGGCGAGCAGTGCTGCAAATGCTCTTTCCGATGCTGAAATCGCTCGAACCTCCTGCAGCCGATCCTGCACAGCGCTGCTGTCACCTCCATACTTTGGCTGTCCCCAGGTGAAGACGGAGCCATCCCATTGGATGGCTGCGAAGGCCCACCAAGCTGCACTGATGGAGATTGCCCTCGGCATCGAAGAAGTCGTTGACAGCAACAGGTTGGCATTGCCCCAGGTCACGATAGATCCATCGGCCTTGATCGCCGCAAAGGCTTCTTTGGAACTCTGGATGCAAACCACATCCTCTTGGAGCTGATGCTGCACCGCACTGCTGTCGCCACCACAGTGAGGATAACCCCAGGTGACAACCGAGCCGTCGGACCGAATTGCTGCAAATGCCAGCTCCGTAGACTGGATTTGCTGAACATGTTGAAGCTGATCCTGCACAGCCTGGCTGTCACCACCCCCGAGCTCGCTGCCCCATGTCACGACAGTTCCGTCGCCACGGATGGCGGCAAAGGCACAATCGGAGGCCTGGATTGCCTTCACTGTGATCAGACGATCCTGCACAGCAGTGCTGACGCGACCACCACCACGGCCGCCCCAGGTGGCAACAGTGCCGTCGGGTCGGATCAAAGCAAAGGAATCTTCGGTCTGCTGCACTGATCCGCTTGTTACTGCAAAGCAAGTGCATCTGCTTGTAGCGATGCCAGTAATTGCCGACATGGCCAAAACTTAAGTCGCTTAAGCCTACAGCAGAACCCCTGATTAGAAGCCTCAGATGCACCGAGGACTTTGTTCTGGTGCCGGCAGCCCCCGAATGGACAGGACACCACGCCTCAGGAGCCCATAATATATGTAATATACTCAGTATATATATTCTAAGACTTATATAATATATATTTTAAATCATATTTCTACTAATAATATATGATATATATATATATATATATATATATATTATTAATTTATGATATATCATATATATTATGTATATACATATTATTTAGTATATTATTAAATAACATATAACTAACTGTTATTATTATTTGTTGTATTATAAATAATATTAGTTGTCGAATGTACATTCTGATGCTGGCTCTGAGGATGATGCTGCTGGCACGAAGAGCGAATCACAAGTAATGTTAAGTCAAGTGTAACTGTAAGTAACTTTTAAATGCTGTAACACTGGACTGACAGGCTGGCACACTCAGAATGGATTTGCTCTTTTTGCAGCTGAGCACGATACAGCCGTCGGAACGCTCAATCCAGGCTGTCCAGATTCAGTGTCAGGTCGCTTGTAACCCGGCCGTCCTCAAAACACTGTGCACTGGCCTGGAACTGCTGCTCGTCGGAACCAACATCATCCTGGCCGAACTGGCCATGTCCATCTGGCACTGCTGCAACCGCGGCACCACTAACGGCTTCGGATGCGGCGCAGCTTGCAGCAGTTGCATCGTCATGCTCTGCAGGGCCTTGGTCATCTGTAATAACAGTAACATTGGCACCTGCGCTTGCTCCCAAACTCTGCTGTCCATGGTCAACGCCCTGAGCGCCCTGAGCACGGCCACGACCACGATTCTGGCAGCGGACGCTGTGGAGGCGTCCGTGCGTTTCGAAGCAATAGGAGCAGCAGCAACTGTAGCCTGCGCCAGCATGCCTGTTGCATTGCGAGGTGTAACATATGCCGTCCTGGTAGCGATAGCTATCGCCAACAAGTCGGCGAGCCATGCGACGCCTTCTGAGGCACCCTCGTGAGTGACTCAGTCCACCACTCTCGCGGCAACGGCCGCAGCAGTGTCTGTGACCGCTGGCAATGAATTGCGTGGCACAGCCCACGCATATTGCCCAGTCAACATCCTGATGCCACGGCTCACACATCGCACGAGGCGGCACTGCCTACACCTGGTTCCAGCAGCACAGCAGCTGCGGAAGGATCATGAATAAAACGCATAATGCGATCTTCTCAATCACACAAGACTGACTAAGAGAAGGCGACATGATCACGTGATTTCAGCACCGCAACAAAATTCAAAATAATAATATTATGACAAGCTGCGCTCGGCCAGACTTTTGACTGCAACACGTGACTCTCCAGGTCGATCTCCCCCAGGCCGTTCTCGTCACACAACCTTCGGAGAAGCTCGCAAAGCGGGAGGGGCTCCTTGCGGAGAGCAACGTACTCCAGATCGTTCGACAGCCGGAAAGCCAGGCCGCCGGATTCAACGGAGCCATCGTCTTGGTTTGGAATCAATCACAGCACAACGACTCACCCATCAGCCACAACTTGGCCGGCATAATGTTTCCGAGAACTCATCTGGCCCAAGCGGAAAGACAGAGACTCAGCCACAGCCACACGGCAGCCCATATTTAATTTAATTGTAAATTATTATGAAACTGACCTCCTGAATCCCAACTGAAAAGACCCAGCCAGGCAGCCGACGATCTTGTCCTTGAATTGGCCAGTCCCAAATCCAAACTGCTCTCCAGGAGTCACCCACATGTCCGCGTCTGTGGCGTTCCCCATGTAGAGAGCATAGGATTTGCCAATGGCAATTGCAGGCTTGCCAGCCTTGCCTGCCATGTGACCCAGCCTTGGAACATCATCTCAGAATGACTTTGTGCACAGCTCCCAAGCTGTCTTCCTCCGACTGTAAAAAACGTACAAACAACCGTGGGAGACGAGAGCAGTAATCGCGACAATGAACCACGGGTAAGCAGGATGCAAACTGAGACAGACCATGAGCCAAAACACAATGTCACAACGAATAACAGTCCACAGCTAATTACAGTTCTGGATCAAAAGATACTAGGCAGTGGTTTCAGAAGACAGCAGTTGGGAATAGAGAAGCAATAATTAACTAGCCTTAGCATGACTAGATAATTTAACTTGAAGTTCTCGTGTCACCCCGAAACCAAAGTTCAGCGTTTTGTTCGCAGTCTCAGAGACTGGCATATAAAAGTTATGGACTAGTATACAGCAATCAATCACGTGCGGCCCATAGGCCCAAGAAACAACTAGTGAGTCAATATAATAAGACAAACTAAGAATGTTAAAAATTAGTAAAGTCAATCGTCATGACAATCCGGCTGCTAAGCATACTGACTGCAAGGAATTACAGAGTCCACTCTCACTCGACTCGGTGTGAGTCCCACCTTTGACACTTTTTGGCTACATCTGCAACAAATGAGACCGGATCACACTCGAGCAATAACCTGTGATGCTTCCAATACACGCCAAGAAACCGATCCTCCGGGATAGAGTCCAGAGGGAAGCTTTCAAGGTCCACGGTGCGTTCCAAGTCAACGGGCCTGACACCCCCATTGATTGAGTAATCACAAGCTCCGGATGCACGGGTCTCAGCATCACGAGGTGGCTGCGTGGGGGCGCTCGGGAAGTCCTTGTCAAACTTTGCCTTGAGGTCCGCAAGCTTCTGGTACTCCGGTGTTCCCGTGGGGAACTTCTGCAGGATCTCCGCTGGCCAAGTCGCCTGCCCACGATGGCATGCCAAGACATCCAGCTGGATGTCCGTTGCAGGCCCTGCGGTCTCCGAGCGAGGCCGTTGCTTCGGGGGGGCATCTGCGGCCTGGTCCCACTGCTTGAAGATCTTGCTGCGCATGAACTTGTTGATGTCATCAAATTGATCCGCCCTCAGAACGCCCACATACTTCGGGGTCTGCGGGGCTGGCTGAGTCAACAACCCGTCGATTGCGGCCCGTGCAAATTCTGCACGCCTCGGCTTCTGGCTAGTCCTAAGCCTAATGCACGCACTTGCTAAAGGACCAACACTGACCAGTGATTCAATCAGTCGTCCCTCCTCAGTCACAGACTTGTTTGGCAGCAAATCAAAGATGATGCAGCGGTCTTTCTCCTCGATCTCAAGGCCTTTGAAGTACGCATCTATAATGGCGGCATGGCACGGGACGCCCTTCCTCAGTGCACCGACAGACTGAGCAATGACCTTGATAAATCATGGTGGGAACTTTGCAACATCAACACGACGTCTCGATGTGTACAAGGACTCTCGTCTGCACACTAAGTACAAAGTAAAGTGACATGTGCTTCAGAAGGTAGCCTAGTTGTGCAACAGGGGCATACACGCTACCGTCACTCACAATGCCGTCAACAAACAAATATATGTTTACCAAGTTGCTGTTCCACACGGGCCGCCGCCCCTGGTCGCAGCAAATCATCGTAGCCAATGAATTCACTCACCCGGATCAACGGCACTGGTCCGATGCGGCCCTCCGTGACCGCTGCACTCCTCGGGTTTTCACACCAGGCAATTTCCAAGACACTGCAGACAGGACTAATTCAGGCCATGCAGGCAAGCCGCTTCACAAAGGAGCACTCCTTGAAGTCCTCGTACATGCACGCCACGCATGATTGGGAAAGGGCGCGACGGTCCGAAGCTGTCGCATCCAGGTCTTTGGAGAACAGCAGGGACACTCCATCCCGCAGGGACACGTTCGCCTTCATGAAGTGATCCTCGACGCTTCTGCGATGCTTGACCGCAGCCGCCGTTGACGTTTGCTTTTGGACCAAAGGCAATTGCACGTGCGCAGCATGCGTTTGGGAAAGCGCAAGGACGTTGGAGCAAACGTCCAGCGCTTGCTTCACGTAAAGCCCGTTGGCTGGAAACACGGTGAAATCCAGAAGCACCAGGACATACCTGAGTCAGAGCACTGCCCAGCAACATATGACTTGGCCCTGCAGCCCTCGTGGATATGAAAGTGCAACTTTGCAACACCGAGCCAGCACATCCACGGAATTCCTCGCAGTAAGACAAGAACTTGTTCAGGATCGCGGATTTCACGAAATCCGCATCTTCCTCCAAACGAAGAAGTTGACACGAAGACTTCATGAAGTTCTCGACGAACAGGTGTCCTTGCCTTAGTTCGAACAGCACTCCCGGGACGATGTCAACTGGCTAACATGGCGTGCAACTAATTCTTGCATGCAACGATTGCCGGTCACGAATGTACTTGACATCCAAAGCTGTTTCCCGCGCTGCCCTGTGCTTGTTCATGTCCCGTCCATGCAACTGCGCCATGTCATTCTCGATCTGGGCCATGAGCTGCTGACAGCTGGCCTCCCGAACCTGTTTCTTCATCTTCTCCGCTTCCGCACTTTTCTTCTCGTCCTCCGCTATCTCGACTTGCCGCAGGTAGGGCCTGAGCATTTTGGGATCAGAACGAACTAAATCATGGTAAGTAGTCTGACTATTAATTTAACACACCGCAACCGTACTCCATGCTTACTCAGTAATAATAATTGTTTATATTAAACCTAAAACCCCTAAACCCTGAAGCCTGAACCCTCGACCCCGTTACTACTATTATTCTTACTGATCTTTCTTGGTGCTGGTTATTGCTATTCTTTCTTGACTTTTCTCTAGTGTGAGACCACTTCTGAATTCTAAGGAGACAAAGAATAACACTAACCAGCACCAACCGCAACTAACTGTTACTAGTAGCAGTCAGCAGCAACAGCAATAATAGTCTTCGTGGTGATAGTACTAACTAGTAGTAGTAACAGTTAGTAGAAGTAGTAGTAGTAGTAAAGTAGTAATAGTTCTAGTAGTACTAGTACTAGTACTAGTAGTAGTAGTAGTAGTAGTAGTCGTAGTAGTACTAGTACTAGTACTAGTACTAGTACTAGTACTAGTACTAGTACTAGTACTAGTACTGACTAGTACTAGTAGTAGTAGTAGTAGTAGGAGTACTAGTAGTAGTAAGTAGTAGTAGTAGTCAGTAGTAGTAGTAGTAGTAGTAGTAGTAGTAGTAGTAGTAACTGACAAATTAACTGCCAGGAGGGTGACAATTAAATTTAATTAGTAAAACTTCAGATAGCACGACAGCACGACAACTAACTATTATATTCATCATAAATTCATTACGACGCCAGGCTGGAATGCAACGGTGCCATGCTACCACCCATTACTAGGCTTTAGGCGGATAACAGCAGCCCAGCCAGTCAGTGAGCCCCAAAGTCACCCTGAAGTCGTCCAAACCCATGGCCCATTGAACATGCGATCAGGATCCGCATGCATTGCATGTCTTGTCATGACGCACGACAACCGGTCATCATTGCAATATTTATTATTGAAAACGCAGTGTCCGAATATAGTGGTGTGTTAGCATGCCACGTATGGCACAGTCACGCATCCCCACACATCGCCAATTCAACGTGCGGTCAAGATTAAATTATTCTGCATGCATTGCAGGACGCACGATGACCCCTCACTGCAGTATGCCAACTGGACGAACATGGCCGCGTGCTTGCACATCCGCGTTCTAATTGTCAAGTTCACGCTCACGCCGCGAAAGTTCCGTGCGACCATGAAATGACACTGACTGGTCAGTCAGCCATCATTTGACAGATTGTCGACAATGCACATGGGAATTCGAGTTCAGCTGCGACATGCACCAGCCATTAAAAGCTCACTGTCTTGATGTGTGCCATCATCTCTCCTGCTGCATGCTTCCTGCTGTATCAGATAGCCGGCATAGCACATGAAGATTGTTGGATTTGCCTTCGCCTGTCGGAATTGCATGGACTGACTCGGACATGGCATCGACCTGCCAAATCTAAATATTATTTACAGCCTCGCTCTGAGCTCTTAAAGTATTAGTTGTAATTTGGAGGTAGTACTGGTTTATAGTTCGGAATTCCTTTAGGGCAGGACCCCTCTGAGGAAACCAGGACCCAGAAGGATTGCAGTACCAAGCCCCCCCCAACATGAAGAGTGAAGATACCGGGACCCACGTGTTATCATGGACACATGGACCCCATAACGCTTATCAGGATAAGACCAGGCCGAAGAAATTATCTTAGTAATAAATTAATAGTGATTCCAAGTGTCACTTGATACCACCTGGTGGGACCTATAGACCCGATTAATTTGTTAGGATACGAGGATCAAGCTTTAAGTTGTTACCACTTCGATCAATAGTAATTGTTTAGAGCGTTATTCCTGAATGCATCACGGAGCCTGGCCAACCTGGCACTGGACCGTAGTAGTAGTAGTAGTAGTAAGTAGTAAGTAAGTAAGTAACAGTAGTACAGTTACTGTACTACTGTTACTTACTTACTTACTACGTAGTAAGTAGTACTAGTAACTCGCAACACTTGTAACTAGTGGTACTACCACTCGTTGCTGAAGACAAAGATTCAAACAGCACTTGGATGAAAGAAGTTTTCATACTTACTGCCGGGGCACCGGCATGCGCTGATGGACTCCAGGCTGCCCGGGGGCACTTCGTTGCAAAGCACGTGGCTCAAGTCTACATCGAGAAAGCCGTACTGAAACTGGGAGTCCAAGGAAGTTTGCACCTCCTTCCATTTCCCTCCAGGGATGCGTTTCTCCATCAAGGCCCTGAAGTGCAGGTATGCTCCGCACACCTGGTGCCGTGCCAAGGCTACCTGGTATCCCCAAGCCTTTCGCATGGAAGGGACATTCTGATCGTACTCGCCGCACATTCTCTGGATCAGAAGCATCAACTCAGTCACGTCATATAACAGCACTAACTCAAGTCAACAATGAATGTCTCTCCCGCACACAGTGACAAAATGATTAGTTAGTCGAAGTTTGTCTTGCATAGCATACATAGGCGAGGCACCAACTCAGAACTGTTTGTTTTGTTCGTGAGTTGCTTCTCCCAAGCAGCAGCAGGTCCCACAGCGCTGGACCACGAGATATTGAAGATGTCCTTGCTGATGGCCTGCCAAACTGACTCTTCGGGCTTTGACAGTTATGATGTTTTCCCTGAAATGATGAATTAAAAACATCCACAGCACCACTTTCACCACAAACTGACAACAAGCACGAACCAGCATCAGCATCATCATGGCAATGAGATTCTGATCCGGATGACGCAACACACTGCAGATGCCTTTGACGCAGCATGGGGATCTACACTGACTGACTTATTTAAGGTTTGTGATTGATTCAGCGAAATCAGCATTGACCTGCATCACATGGGGTTGCTCCACGTCCGGCTCCGGTCACTTGCGAGGTGTTTCGAGAACCTTAAATCTGTGGGGAGCCTGCTGTACTGGCAAGCACTACAACATGAAAACTCGTAAGTAATCACAAAATACCTGAATCCGAAGTTGCCTCAAACCCACTCTCAACCCTCAGTTTGTTTGACTTCAGAATTCAATCGGCGGGGCCTCGTGCGTCAGCAGTTTTGCCATGCCTCTCTGCCTCACTGCTTCCAGCAAGGCTGTCCGGACGTCGGACCGCATCTTCGAAACCAAATTCACGATCGCTTTGGATTCTTGGGCTCCGATGGAGAAGGCTTTGGCAACCTTCATGGAACTCTCCCAATCCTGCACAAAATTGACGGCAAATGCGAGCATCTGCTGTTCACGAGCAACAAACCAGGCGGTACAAAATACAGCTCGAGAGTCATAGACTCAGACGCGAATCCAAGCAGCACTAGACTTAGACTAAGTGACTGACTAGTGGATACATAACACGCGGCTTCCTGCAACTGACTCTGGGCTGTGCCACCACCAGCACGGCTGAGGATGTTGATCTGACGCAAGAAGTTGAAGCAGTTGGGTGCTTTGCGAGTCGCGGCGGCAGCCATGGTAGCTCCTGGCATTATTCGAAGTTGCACAAACTACCAGAAGCAAGTTCTACGTCACGGCTCCGACCTCGGTTGGCCAGAACCTTCGACCTGGTGTCACTGAAAGCACCAAAGGTCGCACAGATGTTGCGGAAGCTCGCCTTGGGATCTGGGGCGTGCAGTGTGGTGCTGCCACGAAACTTCAGCTCACGCACTCAGCGTCAGGACGAGTGACCAGGACTGCCGCAGGAACCTGTGCTTCAAGGTCCAACTCACGTATGGCCTGAAGGGCCGCCAACAGGCACACACTCCGCTTCCACCCCTTCACGTACCCGACCGAGAACGGCGTGAGAAGTGCACCTCAGACTCAAAATAATGATGGCGCAACGAGATTGCTTGATCAGACCGGCGGGCCCCCAGCTTAAACTGAGGAACATCTTTGATATGCCAAGCCGCTCCCTGGATGCAAACTTCTGCAAGCGGTCCTCGCACCTTCGAGAAATGCGTCCGGGACGGCTGTGCAGGCCAGTTTCTCTATGGCGACACCCGCATCTGGGTTGGATTGGAACCTGACATCACAAGGAAACCAGCAGACCAGCATGAAATACTCTTATCATGACATGATGACTTGACTGTCCCATAATGTTTGCCCAGCAGCCCCCGGCAAAGAATGAGCTCTAAGAGACATTCACCTACTTCAGGGTCCAAAACACCACTGCAGCCATAATCACTGCGCCAGGACAACATCCACGGGCGCAGCATTGCCGGCTTGTCCGTGTCCGTGGCATATGTCCTCAAAGATTAAATAATATGATAATTGACATTAATTATTTGTCACGACTAAGAAATGAAAGTAAGCTGACGACCTGCAGCAAACACGAAAACACGACCGTTGACTGACAAGCAGCTCGCCAGTCGCAGGGCAGAGGTTGTCAATCCAAGCAGCAAAGTCCATCATGGATTCCTGACAAAACTGGACTCTCAGAATCAAGGACCAATGACTTGCGGGGGAAGATAAGCAGAAAACCCAAGCAACAACAGCCTCGTCGGGGTACTTCTGGGTCAAGTACCGATCAGGACCTCCAGCTGGCATGACAACGTCCCGGAACCTCAATTGTGACGACCAGACTCAGAATCAACTTTCACCATCAGACCAGACGAATGCCAAACGATATTTTTTCCACGTCTCATCCAGCCAACAGACTCAGACTCACACCCAGGCATTGAATGTTGGTGATTTCAGCAAACTACATAATAATTAATGATAATAAAAAACTAACTATGACTATGATGTAGCATTAAACTTTCAACGAGCGACCAAGCCGTGACCCGCATGACATGCGGCTGCTCTCCCAGCTCCTCCTGGCTGGCACGTTCCTCCGCCGACTCAGCAGCCCGCTTTTTGGCGGAGCCGTCACCTCCACTTTTTCGCCTCTTCTCCGCGGGCATGAGTCCGGCTCACTGCCGCAGACAGAAAAGCTCCTAGACCTGAGCCTGCTGGACTGCCGTGGAACCGGCCGAATCTGTATCACTGCTCGCACAACCAGAAGACAACTCGTAATACAAGGACATGTTGTTGCGGCAGCACATGGGAAACACAAAGACTCGGATCTTTGTTCACACGACGGACGGACCCTCGTGCCGCACAGAGCGGCCATCCGTACCAGGGTACCCTGGCTGCACGTCAGAGTCAGAGGATGGCAAGCAAAACGCGGCCGGAGTCAGACTCTGAAACACATACATTCCGATTGTCAGTCAGTCCTTGACCCGAAGACTATGTGATTTCAGTCAGGATAATCTACGCATCACTGATTGCCTTGGGATTCTCTCAGGTGTGCACGCGAGAAACGCTCGCCCGAAAATCTAGCACGAATCATAAAATACAAATGTAACGAATCAGTGCTCATAATCATCATAAAGAATTAAGTAAAGGAGCAGGAAATAGCAACAAGAAGCTATTAATAACCGTTTCTATGAATAAATAACTGATCTTCCGCACATGACGCAGGCTTCCCCGAAAACCATTCGTCGTATGACATTAGCATTATTTTATAACGTAACAGATTACAAACAATACTAATTATAATAAATACTGCTAACTGCAGACTATGGATAAACACACACTCACAATAAACCATGGCATAAAATATACAATGCCAGTCAGACCTGGTCCTGAGAGTTTCCACGAAATATTTTGAAAAAAAATGGCACCCAGCCCAAACTAATATCCCAAACACGCCCCCAAACCCAGAACGCTTTCTAACCCACACTTCATACGGCCGCGGCCGGAGTGTCGGATTTCGGCCGTGGCCGGAGTGTCTGATTTTGGCCGCGGCCGGAGTGTCAGATTTCGGCCGTGGCCGGAGTGTCGGATTTTGGCCGCGGCCGGAGTGTCGGATTTCGGCCGTGGGCGGAGTGTCGGATTTTGGCCGCGGCCGGAGTGTCGGATCTCAGGTCGGATCGGAGTGTCGGATTTTGGCCGCGGCCGGAGTGTCGGATTTCGGCCGTGGGCGGAGTGTCGGATTTCGGCCGTGGGCGGAGTGTCGGATCACATGTGGGATCGGACACTCGCGGGCCTGAGTCAGGCCGGATTATCGGGTCTCATGCGGGCCCGGACCGCGAAAGTAGCCAGTCGGAAACCGACACTCCTGCTACACTGCACAGGGTCGGCCCGCGAGTGTCCGATCCGACCTGAGATCCGACACTCCGCCCACGGCCGAAATCCGACACTCCGCCCACGGCCGAAATCCGACACTCCGGCCGCGGCCAAAATCCGACACTCCGAGCACCACCAGGATCCGACACTCCCGAGAGTTCATCAGGAACGGGCCTGGGAGTGTCGAATCCAACCTGGGATCCGACACTCGGAGGCACTGTTCCCAAGCAGGCCACGGGTGTCCGATCCGACCTGGGATCGGACACCGGTGCATACTTTTCTGAGTTTGAAGATATCCTTAAGTTTTTTTGAATGAAGTCGGCTTGATGAAAATAGTGCTCTCAGTGTCCAAAGCCAGCTGGGATTTGACACCGACTGCCCTCCAGGCTGCGGTGCCAGCCAGTGTCTGATCTGAGTGGCCTAATTGACAGCCCGCCGCTGCATGATTTTGTCAAACCCACCCATTGCTCCCTTAATGTCCATGCCGCACCCCAATTTTTTTTGATTTTGGCTCCTGGAAAACGTAACTAGGTTTCGCAGGCAACTTTGTGATCGGAAGGGCTTCAACTTCAAATTCAAGGGACTTCTGAACAGGCAACAGTCCTCATAATGCTGAAAACTGCAAAAACATGATTCACGGACATCTGGCGGAAATTGCCGTTTCAGGAAGCATAAGGCCAGCTAAGGTTCGTTTTGTCACCGAAGTTTTTGCGCGGAACGGCTTATTCTAGATTTCGGGACTTTGAGTTCTTAGAGAACAGTCCTTATTTAGGGGCAGTCATCAGAAAATAGAGACAGACAAATCTAAACCTAATACTTGATTTTCAGGTTTTGGGCAGATTTCGCGTGATGACGGAGCCTAAATTACTAATTAAAAGTCCTTCCTAAAAGACAGAGACTTGTGCCAGCCGCGTTTCGTGCTCCAAGGCTAGCCTTTAGCAACACCTTTACCACGGCCTTTGCGCGCGGCAGGCCTTTCAGACCTCTGGGCTTTTCCTGAGCCTTTGCCACGGCGTGCACCCATCCGGACACGATCGACTGCGTCCCTAGCCAGGGACTCGGCTTCGTCCCACGGAACACCTCGTGCCCATGCACTTGCAGCGGCACGGTACACAGTCCTTTCGGCTGTTCGGGCAGTGTAGTGCTTCACCTGCTTTTTCTCATCCGAGTCCGGCTTGCGCAACCTGACGCAGGACAACGCATTTAAACACAACCTGGACATGGCATGCGACCCCAAGCAACAGAAACCGGGTCCGTTACATGCAGTA